TGAAACAAGCCAAATTCCTGACCCGTTTCTAAGTCGACCAAAATCTCTCCGCCGTTGAGGGAGGATTCACTGTTGCGGGAGGGAACGACACTGCCGTTGTTGGAGATAGTGTTCGTCCTACCGTCATCAAAGGGAGCAACGGTGCTGTCGTTGGGGGTAGGGTGACGACGCTCGGGGTGCCTTGGTCCCGCATCTAGCACTCATGCGTCTTCATCCAGAAGGTGTGGTAACACGCCGAGCCCGACATGTGGCACAAGCGTGGGCGAATCATCCTCGCACACATGACGGGGATGCCAATGTTGGAGCAGCAGTTCCGCGTCTGCGCTTTGTTCGCCACCATTTCGGTGACCCACGACCGGTGACGCCGAAGGAACTGCTGGCGGCGATGGAGAATCACTTCGGCGTACTGAAGACGGTGACGATGGTGGAGGTGGCTGCTCCAACATTACATTTCTTTGCATGCTTCGACTCAGGCGAGGACTACACCCGTATGGTGCACGCGTTAGAGCATCTTCATTGTGGCGGCAGGTGCATCCGTTTCGCGTGCTGGTCCTGTTTCACACTTGGTACACCAGGGAAGACGGATTACAAGACAACGTTGAATATCGAGGGGCTCCCAGAAGAGGCCTAGGAACCGGATACAATCAATCTAGTCATCACCGGTGTTGATGGCGAGCCATCGACATGCTGCCGACTATAGACAAATGGGTGTTGTCGATGACCACGTGACTATGTGACCCTTGTGACGTACCCAATAGGCTGACTGTTACGGTGCCAGCACCTCCTTTGCAGCCATGACAGCCTGACCCCGACGAGGACGATGTCTATTCGCCGTCGCCACCGAACTCTCCGATAGAGCGGTTTACCTTTGATTATCTAGGCCATCGTGCACATGGAAGAGGTGAGCGATCGTGGACCTTTTTTCAACGAGGATTTGCATGATCCATATCTGCCAGAAGAAGGCATAGACATGAGGCGCACAAATTCACTACATGGCACTAGAAGATCGACAACAGCAGATGGAGATCAAGGCAAAGCGTAAGCATGGTGCTGTTATGAACTGGAGATCCACTAGAGCTAGAGAAGTAGCTTCCATTGTCATGTGTTGTTGTGTTAGTAGTGCTTATATTCTGAACTGGTAATTTGTGTTGTTGTGTTATGTGTCGTCAAACCGGGATATTGTCATGTTATCAGTGAACCAACCATGTGTTGTGGATCTATCAATTTGCAAATTCAATACAAAATGGACCGATCCTCGGAGGTATGTTAATTCAATGTTCTTCAGTTCCTTAGTTGTGTAAAATCCAATTTGGTTATTTGATCTCTTACTATAAATTGTGCAAAATCCAATTTGCAATAGACATACCAGTTACTTGATCTTTACTATAGAGTAATGTTGTTGCATATTCACATTTCATAGAAGAAAGATCAAAGCTTGAGACAGACATGGTAGCAAATCATTGACGGAGATAGAAATGTTCCGGAGAAGTTCTAAATAACAAAGCTAGTACGCCATGTCACAACATTTTAGAAAAATAAGGGTCATGAAGCTAAATATTCCATGTCACAACTTTTCAGCAAAATAACATAGCTAGTTTGAACAAAAGCTTGATCCTTGGTCACAACAACTGAATCATCACTTCTTGGAGCTCCTTATGTGGATTGTATCTCATCTTGCCCCATTTGTACCAGCTCTTGCTTCAGCCCTCCTTTTCCATTCCTAGATGTCCCTTCCAATAAAAGCCACTGCAAGCCCCTCATTTTAGTTTTCTTCTTGCTATACTTCATAGGACCCTTGCCATTAGGGGCTTCTTGTTCCAGCTCCACCTCTTCCACCACTAATTGCTCCACCTATTCCACCACTACTTGCACCACCTCTTCCTCCACTTCTCCCCCACCCCTTGTTGTAGTAGATGATGTTTCACCTCATGCTCCATGTGTTGCTCCCCCTTTTGCTCTACCTCCCTCTCTCTCATCCTTGTTATGTTTCTTCTTTCTAGAGCTCTCCCTAATGTGTTGACAACTGGATCCCTTGTTACGGGTATGCTTGCTCCGTGAAGTGCAACAAAGTCATTTTCTTCTTGCATTGAGGGAGACCTAACAATAGGGACACTCCTTACTAGGCCCTATTTAGCACAATTAAAATGTAAACGTAGGAAAAGACAATGTGTTCAAAGTGCACATGTAATAAACCTGACATATTTACCACTTTCCCAATAATGTTACCATGCAATCCTTCTTGTTTTGAGGGTCTAGTTGTTCCCTAAGTGGTTTGTTTTGAATGTGCTATGCAGTAAACAAATGCAGTGCCAGAGAACTACAAAATGCAGTTATTTTGAGAGAAAACATGTCATGTTAGTGAACTAGTAGTGAGTATTATAGGGTAATCAACATCACCATTTTCTTTAACATCTGATATTTTAAGTGGTCGGGCTAAGGAAGACTACATTAGCGTGGTTGCTCATTATGTTGACGAAAAATGGAACCTAGAAAAAAGAATCATAGGATTTGAATTAATTGATGTATCACATGCTCGTGAGAACATTGCTAGCTCTATTAAACTTGTGGAAGATTTTGGTTTCAAAAACAAGATTTTTGCAATAACTTTGGATAATGCTTCATCACATATTACTGCAATGAGTGTCCTGCGGCATCTTTTTTACTGCATCAACGTTGTGCTTGCCATATACTAATCTTATTGCTAAATGTGCTTTGAAGAGATTGAAGATTGAAAAAATAATACCTTGATGATCTGTGAACTGCAATTTCTTTATGAATGCTTCTAATACATGAATTAGTTACTGCAAGAGCTTTTGTCTTGCTTTAGGAGTACATCCTCGTAAATTTGCCTTAGATATGCATGTTAGATGGAACTCTACATTTATGATGCTCAAGTATCTTATTCCACATGAAGATAGTTTTTCCATTTTTGTTAACGCAAACTACTATACCATTGATGGATCACCCCTGCTCACCCTTTGGTCATTGGCATGTTATTGTAGTATTACTAAGCTTTCCCAAGATTTTTAACAATTCAACTGTTGCTTTGCTAGGTTTATTATCCCACATATCCTTTAATGGCCCATCATATTTTATATATTGCTCATTTGAAAGCATATTATGTTACGTGGTGTTGTGGTTGTCATGAATTTTTTTTTTTGAAATATTGGAACAAAATTCCAATATGCATTTGAATTTATTTTTGGATCCTAGAGCTAAACTTGCAAGGGTTTGGTAATGTCCTCTCACTCTTAAGTGATGCCATAAATGTATATTAATCTGCTTATTTCACTAGTGTTCATGATAAGCTTTCTGAAATTTATACTAAGTACGATGAAAATTCTGTCGGAGTTCGGGTCCAATGGCCTCCACCAACACCATCGTTTGGAAGAAGAAAGGAGAAATGCATATGGTTCTGCCTCCTCTTCCTCAAGCTCTTCTACACCAACATCAACATCAGGCATGGGGAGTTAGCGACGTACCTCAACATCGACAAAATCAGCTCCCTGTCAGGAACATGATGATGAAAACCTCAACATATTGTAGGGGTGGCATGAACACAAGCTTACATATTCGGTGCTTTCCATAACGGTACCCATCTCAGCATATCATCGGAGTCTGCTTTCAGTCTAGCAGGAAGAATAATTGACAAGAGAAGAACAAGTCTCACAAGTGATATATGGTGAGGACACATCTCTATGAACAACATCGATCTACTATCCACACTAAAAAATGTTTATCTAGACGATGAACAACGAGAAGAATAGTTGTAATCTTTGAAAAAAATTTCTTTTGTATTTTTCTTTTCCGGTCAAGTAGCTTTGCACTCCTTTTCCTTACCCGGGTTTACCTAGAAGGTTTTAATGAGACATCTACTAACAAAGCTCAAAATTTATCCATATGACACTTTGCCTCTTTTACAATTTTCTGTATTTTCTTTCTCCATTTTTACATTTTCCTGTAGTTTTAACTTTCTTTTTTGAAATTTTATATGCAAAGCTAAAGGCCCGAAAGGCCGAAGCAGCCCAAAAGGCTGTAAACCTACGTGGGCCGGCAGCCATGCCTTGCCGGGTCGGCTCTTTTATCTGGCGTGCCAGGCCGGTCCTCTAAAAATGGCCTACGTGATGCCTCTATACTGTTGGCCCGGGCCGGGCCGGGCCGGGTCGTCCATAAAAATCATTCGTTTCTCCCAACTCCGAAAAAATAATCGTCCCCTGTTTGCAACTCTCTCGGCCATGGCAGCAGCGGCGGCGCAGAGGCTTCTTGCGGCGAGCACGAAGATCGTCGGGGCCGGGCGCAACTACATCTCCCATGCCAAGGATCTCGGCAACCCTGTCCTCAAGGTCCACGCCCCTCTGACCCTGGCCCTCTCCCATCCCAACACACGGGGCGCCCTTCTTCCTGCGCGGTCTCTGATCCGGTCGCGGCATCGGCGGCCTTGCTGCTCTGCTTGCAGGAACCCGTCCTGTTCCTGAAGCCCACGTCGTCATTCCTCCACGCCGGCCCGACGGCCGGCCCCATCGAGGTGCCCGAGCCGCTCGAGTCGCTGCACCACGAGGTCGAGCTCGCCGTCGTCATCTCCCGGCGCGCGCGCGATGTCCCCGAGGCCTCCGCCATGGATTTCGTCGGAGGTAACTAAGAGCCGTGGTTATGAGATGCCATCCCTGCGCGATAACCCCTATTAAGAATTGTGCTGTATTGCAACAAGTTATCTGAAGAATGG